ACAGAGTCCTCGGATGTACTCTCCTGCCAGAATTCATGCCCCCTGGGAAACCCACTGGTAAGATTCAACATTTGTATATTCTCTTACAATAGTAATTCCAAGCATTGCTGTGAGATTGCATGCTGCCTGAACGCTAGGGGTGTTGAAATTAATCGTTGCATCGATGCATCGCGATGTGGACATGGACAATTCTGCATAGTTGCAATAATAGACCATAATCGATTATAGCCTACTGACATCAATCACATATGCGCTTGTCACGTGAGTATTAAAAAAATGCACCGACTATTGGTTATTCATTAGCAACACTACATTCATCACATAAATGCACTGTACTGCTTTAGCCTGATATATTCCTCTTATTACAAAATGTTTAATGACTCTTTATGGCAGATGAGTGTATAGCTGTGGAGTACTTCCTGGCGCAGTCTGACAGAGGAGACCTGCTTTCTCCACTGGAGCATGTTGAAATCACTCCGCCAGAGACACAGGTTGAAGTTCAGGAGGATGAGTGTCTGGATGTTACAATATGTGATGCAGCAGACATCAATTTAGATGCACACACCCGTGGCAGTTCCAGCAGTCATGATGATTCATTGATCTCCTCTCTGGTAATGTCAATTTTCTTGATTGCATAGGAATGTTAGTTTACATGAGCAATTAATTAAATTATTCAGTTAATTAAAAGATTATTAGGTAATGCTGTACAATAAGTTTTAAGTTTTTTAACATTAGCTAACCACAACTGTTAACATGAACTAATAAAGAATCTAATCTCAGCATTTACTAATGCATGATTAAACTTCAAAATGCTAACTTTAATGAACCTGAACTAACATTAACTAACAAAAAAAAAGTCGTATTTTTATTAACTAATGTAAACAGAGATTAACAAATATTGGAAATGTAGTGCTCATTGTTAGGTCATATTAGTTAATGCATTGACCATCCTTAACTAAAGAAACTTTTTGTAAAGTATGACCACTTATTAAAACTAGTAAACTTTTTGAACACTCAGTTTTGTAACCCAATTTTGTTCTTCTCTTACAAATGTTTAAAAATAATCTAGGAAACCAGTCTTCCAAGTGGTGGCTCTTACAGTCCTGACATTGAAGACATTTCCTGCGCTGGGCCCAGCACATCAGCTCCGGTAAAGTTTCTAATACTTGATGCTGATGCTTGTAATTTGTTAAGAATGGTATATCAAAGAACTGTTAATAAACTATTTTGTAATGCAGGATTTTGTTTTTTCCCATTTTCAGGACAGTAGATGTGATTCAAGGGGTGTTCCTGGATGGGAGGCAGTGGATAACCTGGCAGGGTACCTCGTCAGCCTCAACCGCACTATCACTGCTTTGTCAACAAATGAGATAGCAGAGATCTTGCGGTTGTATTGGTGTCTGCATGCCATTGATCGGTCCCCCTCCACGTATTCCCTTAAGTGCAAGAAAAATGTCTTGCCAGGTCGCTGGAGAGCTTCTCGGAAGCATAGTGGCTCAGCCCCTGGTCAGCAAGCGGCTGAGAGGTGAGTTAAATTGTAGTGCACCTATGTTAAACTTGAGTCTTGTTTCATGCTGCCTGTGTAATGGTTTAATTCCTCTGTAAGGCTAAAAAAAGAGAATTGTGAAGAATCATGATCTAGGACCTTTTTTACAGTGTGTGCCATCATAAAGTATCCCACATTGCCTCATTTTCATCTGCATAAAATTCAAAAACATAATTAGTCTATATGTTTACAAAGCTATAATGAACCATGGAATAATAACATCATGCATTATACAATCAATGCATACTTTTATTTGCAGACTGTTCATGACCCATGGCCAGGCTGCCCAGAGACCTGATGTCAACAGGATTTCAGAATGCGTCACACTCAAGCTTTTGAAGGAATTCAGGGAAGCCAGAAACAGGCCTAAAGACAACAAGGGCAAAATCTTCCCAATTCCTCAGGCAACTGTGATGACGTATAGTCACATCAAGCAGCTGCTTGAAGACTGCAGAGAAGTGCTGGACAAGACCAACTTGGTGCTAGTTACGATCAACAATACTACAGTATCATCTTGGTGAGTTGGTTCTTGGCTTCCTGAGTTCACTTTAGTAGTACATTCCCATGAACAAGTGCACTTCAGTAACAACTACTGAATGAGCTATTCTAATTCCAAATTTGTATATTGCATAGATTAAATGTATACATTGTTTCACAGCAGCTTTACATAAATGTTAATGGTTGGAATACTTTATTGCTTAATATTACACAGCTCTCAGTTCTTGATTCTGATTGGTCAGTTGTGACATTTTCAAAGTCAGTTTCCCACAATAATGACCGTCATCAGTAGTAGTGCTGTGTAACAGGCTACTCATCTGGTTATCTGAAGCCAGCACTATTTCAATCATCTCTTGAATCACACCATGAATTCTCTTTTCATTCAAACCCTGTAAGACCCAGATGAGCATTTGTTATTCATTGTTGCTATAATCTACAGTCAATATTGGGGAAAGACAGACCTTGGAATGTTGCAACTGATCAACCAGAATCAAGCATTTTAGATGATGTACATCTAGCTGGTCATCACTGAAGGGTGTTGAAAACACAGTCCCATTTAGGATTTATTCGCATGATAAATAATGCTTCATGTGAGAGTACTGTAGGATAAAGTTGTAATTTTAAAAGCAGTTGTGCTCTAAGCTAAAAATGCTTGTTTTTCTTTCCCAGGCTTTTAGACCGACAGAAAAGAACTGATCGGGACACCTTGTTGCAAGGAGTGGAGCTTCCCCAGCAGGTTGATTTGGCGACTGAGCCACTACCAAAGCCTAAAGTGCTCCCATCAGCACCTGTTGAACATAAGCATGTTCCCATTGAGTTCCAGGAGCCTGAAAATCGGGAGGGTGAGGCAGTTA